CCCACACGGCTACACCCGCCCCGTGCCGGCGTGCACTCACGGGCCTCCAGGAGGAAGCGGACGCAGTGGATGAGGGAGCAGGCCTGCGTCACCAGCGCCGGGGAGGACAGCGCGGCCCAGAGGCCGGGCAGCTGCAGGGCCAGGCAGCAGCAGTCCAGGCCCGCCTGCAGGTCCAGGCTCAGAGGGATCTGCTCGTGGGCCAGGCGCCACGCCAGCGCCTGCAGGGAGAGCCAGGTCTCAGGGTGCTTATGGGGGACGGCCCCTGCCGGCCCACCCGTGCTCAGAGGCTGGGTCTGGGGTCCCGGAGGCCAGGAGGGCCACTTCCAGTCGGGCCAGCCTGGGGAGGCACCACAGCCATGTGCCCCGTCCGCCCCCGCTGCTAGCTGGGAACAACAGCCCATCGGGCCGGGGTGCAGCAGGACCACACGCGTCCGGCGGCCCCCAGGGCGCTGTGACCACGCGCTCTGCAGCGGTGGTGTCTGCCATGGGGAGCCCCGTCCTGAGCAGCATGGCCCCTGCCCTCCAGGGCCCCTGGCCGCCCCTCCCTCTCTGCCACAGCCGGTCAGGGCTCGCTGCATCCGAGCCGCCCAGGGACGGCCCCAGCTTGGCCCTCTGGCATGCAGGGGCCGGCCGGGCGCTACTTCCCAGCAGTGATACGGAAAGCCAGCACACCCCACTGGCCTTGGGGTGACTGTGTTGACACAGAATGTTCAATCCCCTGTAGCTTGAAACGTCCAAGCTTACTGCTCAGCTTAAACACGAATTTCCCAGTCGTATTAAGTATCCAAAATTTGATCCACACTGTACCTGTGCTGCTGCTTTTTGCGGAAAGAAACTTAACGTGCTCTGGCCTAAAATCAAAGGCATCTAGGAAACAGGGGCCCACGCCCCAAGATGCCGCTCCTCGTGGCTGCTTTCAGGGCGTCTCCTTCCCTCCCTGTCCCGCACACAGAAACACAGGCTCGAGCCGCCTCTCACCTCCAGGGTCATGACCACAAACTGCACCGTGTCCCTTTCCTTGTCAGGAGGAAGGTGCAAGTGGCTGGGCACTTTGGAGAAGGCCAGCAGGTACTGGGCCAGGGCCCGGGCCAGCGTGGTCAGGGTCCGATACAGCACGGCATCTCCTGAGGAGAGAGCGGCGGTGGGCACAGGCTGCCGGGCGGGCGGCGCCCCCAGGACGAGCTCCTCGAAGCACACCTGCCCGTACCCCTAGGCGCCGCTGCCCTGTGGTCCGGAGGTCCGGACCCAGCTTCCTCTGGGCCTGGGGTGCGACCACCTCAGCCGTGGCAGAGACACCCATGGCGCCAGGGCTGGCCCAGGCCACCGGGAGCCCTTTCTACCGATGCGAGAGCGGCGCCCACAGCGCAGAGCTCCGTGCCGGCTCTGCAGAGCCGTCAGGGCCCTTACCAAACAGATGGCTCAGCTTGCTCCAGTAGGCGGTGGGCTCTGCAGCCAGGCCGGGCTGGTAAACCTGGTGGGCGGCGGGGAGCTGCTGCACCACGCCGCTCACTCGCTCCAGGGTCACCAGGCGCGCTGCCTCGAAGAGGGGGCTCTTCTGGCCGCCAGAAGTTTCCCGCAGGCCCAGTCCCAGGCACGGCGTCAACAGGCTGAGGTTGAACTCCTGAGTCGGGGCGTTAAAGGGCCAGCAGCCATCGTGAGGTTTCAGTCAAGGGAGAAAATCACAAAAGAGGAAGGAGGATAGTGAAAGCGTCCTAAGGCCTCGCAGAAGAGCTGCGCACGCAGACGCGCTTCGGAACAGACCCCGCGCGCCACAGAAACTGAACAACGCCGCGCGGCCGCACCGGGAAGAAGGCGCTGCTGGTCTTTTGGGGGCCGACCGTTTAAAATAAGCACCCTGGTGTTTCCTTTATGTCTTCAGATTCGTTCGGCATGGAGAACGGAGCAAGGAAATTTTCATCGATAAAAACACAAAACTGAGCTAGTGTGTGCCACCAAGAAAGCAGCGAGTCACCAAATGCTGCTGGAAATCGGAAACGTAAGCTTTGTTCAGAAGCAGCTAAAATAAAGCCACTAGGAAAATGCCGAACTTTTGGGTGAAACGTCACATTCCGTCGATGTGTCAATTACTTTGTTTTGCCCACACTTAAAAAAAACCACTTGAGGGTTTTTGGGGGTCGACATCTCAGTTCACGGTTATCTTCATTTAGTTAGGGCAGAACAGCCTGCTTCATCAGCAGAGACTAACACGGGACCTTTCTGTTACTGTCAGAACCTTTAAATTCATGAAGAGCCCAATTAGTCCATCTGGAAAACTGCATAAACTGGTCATCAGACAAACCAGCTTTCCCCGAACGGGTCTCAGAAGGGCTCAGCAGGCCGACCGGGCCTCTGCTGCCAGGGCAGGCTGGTCTCCGGAGCCCCGAGGCTCGCCTGGAGCGAGGCAGCCCGCCCGCGCTTCTTCCCGCGGCCTCCTCCCACCTGGTGCTTAGCAAAGCAGCGCCGAGGCACCGGAGTTCAGCGCCAGCTGGCACAGGGCTGGGCAGGAGGATGGTGGCTGGGAGGGCGGGGGCCGGCATCTCGCCAGCCTCCCAGCAAGGAGGGCTCCCTGCCCCCAGGGAGGGGGTTCGCTAAAGGCCACGTGCTGAATGCCACCGAGACAGTCACGCGGCCCTCGCCACACCTGCCCCCGCTCCTCCACGGAACAGGCCACTTTGCTGGCGGCCACGCACAGCAGCCTATTTTCTTAAATGCATGAAACACAGAATGAACAGAAGAACTTGCCGCCTTTTGGACTGTAAGGTGGCTGGAAAGAACCTGTCCCCGCTGGCCTGGATACCCCAGTAAGGCAGAAAGGGGTGCAGACACGGGATCACGGCTGTGTGAGGGGCCCGCGCCACCTACCGAGTCCAGCATGAACGCACGCATGTCCCCGGGGGGCAGGCGGCTCAGCAGCTCGGCGCCTTCCAGCAGCGCAGAGTCAGACCTGGTCCAGCACTGCGATCTGACCAGACGTAAGTACCAGTCCTGGGAGGGAGGAAAGGTGGACATGGAGGGCCCCGGGCTTCCCGCCTGCCGTGCCACTGCCCGACCCACGGCCCCACGGCCCGAAGCGCCATTCCCAGGCAGAGGAACCTCGTGAGCTCGGGACACAGCGCAGTGAGGACGTCGCAGAGACCGCTCACCTCGGCGCACGCCCTCCCCCCGGGTCGCCGCCGGCTGTCGCGGACCTGAGGGACACCCTGTCCTCCCTTCAAGGCCACAGCTGACGGCCTCTCACGGTCAGCTGGAAGCACTGAGGGCCGCGACCGCCCTCGGCCCCAGCCCCACACCTGGCGGGACTGCGCCTGGCCCCCCGGGCGGCCGGGCTGTCACGCCTGGGAACAGGGCCCCGGAGGGGCCTCGGGAACCGCGCCTGATTAGAGGCTGTAGCTTCACTCTTCTGTGCCTGGGCTGCTGGATTTTGAGGCCCAAACACATATTTAAACGGAACCTTCTCCGAGAAATTAGAGTACCAAGACCCGTGGGCCCCTGCGATGAGGGGTGAGGGCTGTGACACTGGACAAGTACACCAGGGTCCCCGGGACCCTCGGTGGGGAAGGCACACGCCGGGCACGGGGACGGCCGCAGCAGAGCGAGTCTGCAGGCCCAGGCCAGCTCCTGTCTCCCCCTCGCCTGCCCTGGCCCTCCAGCTGGCGTCCACTCTCACGGCCCTGCCGGCAGGGGCCCGCCCAGGCCGCCCAGCCACACCTCCTGGGGCAGCCGCGGGAGGACACAGGAGCTCAGTGCACAGCACGCCCCACGCGCCACCTGAGGACACTCACTTTGTCCGGAGTCACAGTCTCCAGCGCCAGGGGCCCATCCCCGTCCAGCGGGTGGGACGTGAGCGGAGGAAGGGGGCCGCGAGACCCCGGGGCGGCGGCAAGGCGAAGCCTGTCCAGCAGGGAGTAGAGCCTCTGGTGTCTGCAATGCAGGCGCGGCGGGCGCGTGAGGCGGGGGGGGCGGGAGGGCACGCGCCAGCACCCCCTCTTCACCCCGACGCCGGCCGGATCAGGGAGGCCCTGCTCGACTCTCCATGGCCCAGTCCGTGCCCGCGCCCGCTGTCAGGAGTCTCGTCTGTGCCCAAACGCGCCGCGGGCGGGGCCGGAGCAACGCTGCCCCAGCATCTTCGCACACGCAGAACAGACCGTTCTCGTAAGAGCCAAGCGCACCCGGACAATTTATCCTAATTTATGCTCATTTCAGGGAGAATCACCTCAGCTGGCACAAGATAGTTATAATCTTCCCCATCTGGGCTGAATACTAAGCCGAGGGCCAAAAAATAACAGCGTGACCCCACCATCTGCTGCGGGAGTGACAGCCGCGCAATGCAAATGACGGCCTGCCGGGAGCCCGC